ATGATTAAATCCTGCACAAACAATGTGAATAAGAATTTTATCAAGATATATAGGGTAATATAAAATGAAAACACTGTCTACTTGCCATTTCTAGAAAGAAAAGTAAAAGGGAACAAGAGACGCACACTCATATCTAATGCAAGATAGAATCAAAAGCTCCACGATTTCAACACCATCCCTGATTCCTTAATATCATAGCATTAAAGATAGCCCCAAAAGCTTCTTCACATCTCTCTGCAATAAGATCACAAGGGATAGATATATAATACACGAGGATTGGAAAAAGCATTTGACTCTGTAATATAAACAAATTCTAAAAACATCTTATGGAAGCAAGATGACATATTAAAAAGATTAAAAAGGCAAATACAATCATTAGATTTTTAAGTGTCTTGTACCTGAACCTAAATGGTGAGAGGGGACGTGGTGGAATAACAACGATCAACAACCTGTCCATTCTTATCGACCAAAAACTTAGCAAAGTTCCATTGAATTTCATCTCACCCAACACTCTTACCTACATCAATTAAAATAGCCTAACATGGAATATATTCAACCATATCCCCAAAACCATAACATTAAAATATCACCACCATCTTTATAACCCACTTAATTTTGCCTTAGAATGAGTAGGAAAATGTACCAGGACTCAAAAGGTATCATTACATGTCATTAAGGATCAATGGTTGTGGCACGGTAGCACTAAGTCCAAGTGAAGAAAGTGACAAAAAATGTAATTGATAAACTAAGAAGTTTCAAGTTAAATGGAAACGATTTAACATATTTCCATAAATATTTCATCTTTTCATTTATTTGGTCTCATTATTTTTATTTTTGAGATGGAGAATAGGATGACACCTATTTAACAACAACAAACACGGATTAAATTTTTATTTATTCGCTTGAACATCTCCGATAAACAAACAATCATAGCACATCAATATTAAATCATACAGTAGCAAATCAAATCAATTTTTTTCTATAATATATTTCTTAATATTGTCTCAAATTAACGAAAATTCAACAGTACAAACCCTTACACCAAAGCAATCGGTCAAAACATCAAAAACACAAAAATCTCCAAACAAAATTAAAGGATTAGCCGAATAATCAAACAAAAAAGAGAACAATAATCGATTCCAATCCGAGTCAAATAATCAACAAAACCAGAAGAGGCTTGTTAGAATTACATATCAACATGAATCCGCACGAAGAGATGTTTCTAAGAATAAAAAATTTCCCACTTTCCCAGCTTCAAGCACTTGTAAAATGGAGCAGCATTATCCCCATTTACTTCAATCTAATACTATCG